CAGACTCTGACTGTGGGTTTCTCGAAACAGTGTGAGGAGGGTGAGCCCTCGCTCCACACTGACTTCTCGTGGCTCGGCTGACTCCTTCCTGACCTCCTGCACCTGGGGTTGCTCCTGGGTCACTGAGACGGGCTTCTGTGTCGTCATTCTTTTGACTGGTTCCCCGGCTCAGGCCAGGTGATTCTCCAGTTCAGAATGTCCATTCAGATCCCGGTGACTGAAAAGGGGCAAAGCCCGCCCTCCAGCTTTGTACCGTGTGCTGTGTGCAACTCTGAGTCTTCCTGGGTGTGGTAGGTGTCACAGCCCGTCACTTGTCTTTTCTCGGGAGGTAAGTGTGTCTTGGCCGCTGCCTCCAGTGGTACTCTGGGCAGAAAAGCCTGACTCTTAGAGATGGTGCATTTATAGTAGGGAATAGAGGCTGGAAGGGAGAGAGCCCGCAGTGAAAATGCCTACTTCTCTGCAGGACCAATTCGCACCACAGTCCTGGCATCATGTTCTCTATCCCACACTGGGTCGGTTCTGCCCTGTAAGCTGTCAGAGCTGCTCCTCTGTCTCATCACACACCGTGGGATTTTCCATGAGCTAAAATCCCGTTGGTGTTATTTGCAGGATTGAGACTTCCCCCTTCACTTTACCAAAGGACAAACGTAGTGTGCTTTTCCTAGCGAACTTAAAATCCAGACATCCCTGAGAATAAGGATGATTGTAGCAGAGCCTGACTCCCTTCTGAGGACAGCCTTGCCCCCTCAGAATCACTTTGCCAGCTCCCCCACAGGACTGTGGGACGCCCAGCTCCTCAGAACTCATTGCGCCCAGGGGCAGCTCCTGCATGGCGCAGGAGGGCCCTTTGTGAGCAGGAAGTAGAGAGGGTCTGGCAGGGTCCTGCAGGCAGAGCAACTACCCAGGTGCAGCTCTGATTCTATGTGCGGAAAACCAGGCCTTTACTTCCTTTCTTTCTCTGTGTTTCTGGTTCATGCAGACCATGCTTCTGTGGAGCTGGGGAAGGTGTCAGGGTGGGTTGTCCTGCACAGAGAGGCTTCCTGTTTGGGAGGCCCTACTTTATCAATTTGCTGGAACCTCTGCACGTCGTCTCAGGCGCAGGACTCTCGCCTTCCTCCACTTACAGACACCGGTGGTATCGTGTGGCAACAGTGTTTTATCCCCAAGGTCGAGTGTGTGGCCCTGTGCTGCTGTCTGGGCACCCGGTGGAGGGGAGGGTGCCCGGTGCTGACAGCTGCTGCATTGCATTTCAGGTTCTGTAGGTGTTTTTCCTTTTGTCTGTCATCCAACACAGCTCTCTCTTCTGTTCTGCAGGTCCCAGTGAATTCCAGACGTCCCGGTACTTGTCCAGGACCACCTGGTGTGTCTTGCCCCCCTGGGACACCCAGCACCAATTCTCAGATGGTATTCATCACCGCCACCCCCACCCCCCTTGTGGCCTCTGAGGTCTCAGTCACCGGCACAAGTTACAGAGCACAGTCTCATTTGACACCTGAAGAGGCCTCTCAGCTGTGGCAATGATGTGTAAGAGAAGATTTCAGAGGTGCATTACGGCCCGAATGTTTTGCTGCTCCATCCTGCCGCCGCCTCTGTTCCCTCCTATTGTCACCCCTAATGAATCTGTCACCGTTCTCTCTGTGTCAGTGTCTGCTTCCTGGAGGACCAGTGGTCACACCCTCTTGAGGGCATGCAGTGATTCACGGGCACACAACTCACAAACCAGCAGGAACTAGGATGACAGGGCAGACGCAAGGTTACCCCTTCAGGGCAGCAGTGACCACAGGGGCCCCGGGGCTCCTCCTGGGTGGTGGGTACAGCCTGTGTCTAGATCTAGTGATGGCTGTGCTGCTTCAGTCTGTAAACACTCACTGGGCATGTGGGGCCTGTCAGTCACAGGGGTGTCCGGTCGTGAGCTAGATGACCAGAATGAAGTGGCCGTGTCTCATGGTGAGGAACGGATGAGGTGCAGGGGGGGCCATGGGCGTCCAGCGAGAGGCCCTGCACTGACCAGGCCCGTGCCCCCGCCCCGCGTCAGCTGCCCAGCAGCCCCCGGCTCCAGGCAGACCCTGAGGGGGGCTGAGGGCGGCAGTGCTCTCAGTGAGCCCCGTGAGCGCCCTTCATTCTCCCACAGCCTCCTGACTCTGAGGTGGGCGGGGCAGGGTCAGAGGGTGGGGCGCCACCACTGCCAGGGAGAAGGTGTTGGGTATAAAAAGAGTCCACTCCACTCTGCGCCAGCTGTCCCTGGAGCCCGCGGGGCCCTCCCTCCTTCCAGGCGGGGGAGGCAGCCAGCCCTACAGCAGCTCTGGGGTCCAGGCTGGGCCACAAACAGGTCAAGGTGAGATTGCTGTGCTGCCCGGGAAGGCGGGGGGAACAGCGGTGCAGCAGTAAATGCCAGCAGGAGCAGCTCCGTAACCGGGCTCCTCCACTGTGAGCAGGGCTGGGGCTGGAACTTCGCTGTGAGGGTGGGAGGGCTGGGAGAGATGTGGCCCTGTGGCCCTGTGGCCCTGGACAGGGCTAGACCTGAGCTCAGGGCCCAACGGCCTAGGGGAGAGTCAGAGAAAGACACAAGCAAGAAGAGACAGTGTGTGAGTGAGAGAAAGGTGGGGGTCAAGTCCTAGAGAGGGACAGGAGGTGACAAGAGAGGACACCAGGTAGGGGGAAGCAGAGACAAGAGGCAGGAAGGACAGAGGGAGCCACCCCAGGGTGCGTGGTGGGGGACGATGGGCCAGGGTGGCTGGGAAGGGAAGTTGGCCCATCCTTCACCAAGCCCTGCAGCTGCCACTCTCAGGGCCGCAGGGACCGGCAGCCCGCCCAGCTCGACAGGCACCATCGGCCCTCAGGATGGGGCTGAGAGCCAGGCCCAGGGCCCTCCGGCCACTTCCCAGGTAAGGAGGACCAGGAGGGCTCTCCCCAGCACCACAGCGGCACCATCTCTAGCTTCACAGAGACCCTGTGAGCAGGCACCGTCCCGTCCCTGTTCCACAGAAGGGAAACTAAGGCTCGGCCAGCCAGCCGACTTGGCCCTGTCTGCAGGGTTATTCACTTTCCTGATGCTTCTTTCCCAGGCAGGCCTGTACCCCTGTCCTAAGAAGGGAGCCTGTGACAAGCCCGAAGGCCTGGGTCCCACCCAACTGCCCTCCTGTGCTGGGTGACCTGGGCAGGTCTCTTCCCCTCCTTGGGCCTCGACTGTAGGACCAGCGGCACAATCCTTAACACATATGCACCTTACAACAGAGCATTAAACTACATGCAGCAAAAATTGACACAACTACAAGAAGAAATAGGAAAATCCATTATCATAATTAAAATTTTCAATATATCTCTATCAGAAATAGACAGATCCAGTAGGCAGAAAACCAGGAAGGACGTAACTGAACTCAACAACACCATCAATCAACTGGTATCATTGACACTTACAGTCTACTTCATCCAACAGCAGGATAAACATTCTTCTCAAGCTCCCATGCAGCATTCACCAAGACAGGCCCCATTCTGAGCCGTAAAACATACCTTAACAAATTTTAAAGAAAAGAAATCATACAATGTCTACTCTCAGTCCACAACAGAATTCAACAAGAAATTAACAGAGAAACAATGGGAAAACCCCCAAATATTCAGATGAAACAACACACTTCTAAATAATACATGAGTCAAAGAAGAGATCTCAAGCACTATATAACTGGAAGAAAGGGAAGGAGGGAGGGAGGGAGGAAGGAAGGAATCCCAATAGAAATTTTAAAATATTTTGAAGTAAATGAAAATCAAAACACAATTTATCAAAACCTGTGGTATATAGAAAAATCAGTGCTTAAAGGAAAATTTATACACCACTGAATGCATGTTATGAAAGAAGAAATGTCTAAAATCAATAATCTACATTTCCACCCTAGTACACTAAAAAAAAAGAAAAAAAAAAGAAAAAAAAGAAAATTAAATCCAAAGTGAGCAGAATAAGGAAATAATACATTAAAGAGAAATTAATGAAATTGAAAACAAAAACAACAACAAAAAAGAGAAAATAAACAGGGAAGAAATCTGGTTCTTTCAGAGCAATATAGAACATAAGCTTCTAGCCATGCTAACAAAGGAAAAAGGAGAGAGGACACAAATAATTAGTGTCAGAAATGAAAGATGGTGACACCACTACAGATCCCATGGACGTTTTTAAAAGGATTATAATAAAATGAATACTATGAATAATTCTATGCCCACAAATTTGATAAGCTGTATGAAATGGACCAATTCCTTGAAAGATACAAACTGCCCAAACTCATATAAGAAACAGATAATCTGAATAGGTCTATGTCTATTAAAGAAACTGAATAAATAATTTACCTTCCCAAATAGAAAGGACCAGGCCCAGATGGGTTCAGCAGCAATTTCTACCAAAAATTTTAGGAAGAAGTAACAGTTGACCCTTGAACAATGCAGGAGTTAATCTGTGTATAACTTTTAGTCAGCCCTCTGGATCCACAGTTTCTATGCATTCATGGATTCAGCCAACCAAGGACCACATAGTAGTGTACTATTTACCACTGAAAAATATCTGCATGTAAGTGGACCTGTGCAGTTCAAATCCGTGTTGTTCAAGGGTCAACTCTATTCCAAATTTCTACAATCTCCTTCAGAGGACAGAAGCAGAGAGAATACTTTTTAACTCATTCAATGAGGTCAACAACACCATAATAACAAAACCAGAAAAAGACATTACAAGAAAACTACAAACCAGTATCTGTCATGAACAGATGCAAAGATCCTTAACAAGAGATTAGCAAATCAAATCCAACAGTGTATAAAAAGAATTATACAACACAACTAAGTGGGATTTATCCCAGATATGAAAGGTTACTCAGCACTCAAAAATCAATTAAAATCATCCATCACATCAGCAGGCTGAAAAAAAAAATCACATGATCATATCAATAGATGCAGGAAAAGCATCTGACAAGATTCAATACCCATTCATGACATATGCTCTCAATAAAGTAGGAATAAAGGGGGAACTTCCTCAACTTGATAAAGAATATCTATTAAACACCTACAACTAACATAATTAAAGGTGAGAAACTTGAGGTTTTTGCACTATAATCAGGTAAAAGCCACGCCTTTTCAAAGTCATACTAGAAGCCCTTATTAATGCAATAAGGCAGGAAAAGGAAATAAAAAGTAATACAGATAGGGAAGGAAGACTGTTGCTGTTCACAGATATGATTGTTTACTATGTAGAAAAACCCAAATAATGAATAAAAAATTCCTGGAACTAATAAGCAATTATACCAGGCTGCAGGATACAGGGTTAATATATTAAAAAATCAACTGCTTTTGTATACACCAACAAGAAGAGGTGGAATTTGAAATTTAAAATGCTACATTAAAACCTCAAAAAATGAAACACTTAGATATAAATCTAATAAAATATGTACAACATCCACACAAGGAAAACTACAAAATTCATGAACAAAAGCAAAAAAGAACTAAGAAGAGATAGTCTACGTTCACGGATAGGATGACTCAAAATGTTTAAGGTGTCAGCTCTTCCCAATTTGATCTATAAATTCAATGTATAAATACAACATCAAAGGCATAATTCATGAAAGAAATAATGGATAGCTGGGCTTCATTAAAACTAAAAATTATGCACTGCAAAAGGCAATGTCAAGAGAATGAGAAGACAAACCATGGACTGAGAAAGTATCTGCAAAAGACACATCTGATAAAAGAATGTAATCTAAAATATACAAAGAATTCTTAAAACTCAACAATAAGAAAATAATTTGATTAAAAACTGAGCCAAAGACCTTAACAGACACTTCACAAAAACATATACAGATGGCAAATAAGCATATGAAAAGATGCTCCACATCACATTTCATCATGGGAATGGAAATTAAAACAACAAATTAAAATAACACTACACACTCATTTGAATAGCCAAAATCTGGAACACTGACCACACCCAATGCTGGCAAGAATGTAGAGCAACAGAAACTCTCATTCACTGTCAGTGGGAAGGCAAAATGGTACAGCCACTTTAGAAGACATTTTGGT